CACACCACATGACAGGACGAAATTTATATTTTTAAGTACTCCAAAGAAAAAGTGCATACAGTGAACACCATAGCGAGGGAAGTTAAGTAATAATAATAATTCACTTTATTCCAATCAATTTGTGATACAATTTGGAATTCTCAGCGCAATATATGTTGCAATAATAACAAAATATAAGTGTATACATACTACTCTGCAGCCTTTTGAATTGCTTTATTATAAAAATTTAAGTTATATGAAGAATATTAAAAGCGAAAAAATCTTGCATTGTAAGTTAAACTATTGAAATGAGATTTTTAACCGTCACAAAGTTGATGTGTGATCTCTGTTTTAACACTTTTTTCCTTATGAAATATCCTTGCTAGGTAAGGTACAGTCGAATTCTTATACTTAGCTGTACGAGCATACAGTCTTATGTAGTTTCTCCTTGTCCTCCCTGAGGACATACAAGGAGAGGGCTGTGAATGAAGTGGATGCTCACTGTCAGTTAAAACTTCTGTAGCTAGTAGCTTGCAGGAATTTATGTCGATCAGGTACAGTGTTAATCAGTTGAGCCGGAGACACACCACTCACCCTGCTGACGGCCTTCAAAGCCCTACGCAACATAACATAGTCCTTTTTAAAAAGATCAGGAAAGGTTAATGGGCAAAAATATAGAAGAATAGGTAGAATGCAGGAATTAATGAATTGTAAAAGAAGCAGATGAGTTATACCAGAAAGCCTCAATTTCTTTACGTAATAAGTTAAACAAAAGATTTTTACAAGTCAATAAAATATGGGACGACCAACAAAGGTCAGAAGTAAAAAGCAACCCAAGATAGTTCACACTCGATTTACTTTCTGCAGAAATACCAATGATGCAGCATGCGTCATGAGATTTAAGCAGCTCACATGAGTCTTGTTCACGCCTGAGGCTAAAATTAATCGTCTGACATTTAGAGGGGTTTAGTTTGAGACCGTTTGAGAGGGACAATTTACCAACTTCAGACAAGAATTCATTTAATTTCGAGTAACCCGAAGAAGAGTTCACTGGAATAGAAATCGTCAGGTCGTCAGCATACTTGATGAAATTAGTTTCGACAGGATGAGTCAAATGGTGCAAAAAAACGGAAACAGAAAAAGAGAAAGTACAGCCACTTGAGACACATCAGCTTCGGTAAGAAGTGAAGTCGAGCGCATTCCTTTATGAATAGTGTACCGTTTCCCTTCAGAAAAATAAGAATGCAGCCATTTTGTAACCCATGGCTCAGTGTGAGCTATGCTAAGCTTATTTAACAAAAGTGGTCTAGGAACAGAGTCAAAGGCTGATGACTAATCCAAAAAGGCACAACGAACATGCTTAACATCTTTGTCGAGACTAGTAGTAATATTATGATGGAAGACAGTAGCTGAACCTAAGATACCCCTCCAGTGTTTGTAAGCAGACTGTTTTGGACCTATGAGGGCCATCAATGAAGGCTCAGTCACAAGCAGAAGTAATTTCTCCATTGTCTTCAGAAAAGAGGAAGTTATAGCGGTGGGTCGAAAAGTAACATCTGATCCAGAAGATGGCTTAGGCACAGATACAATTTTTATCTGCTTCCAAGCAGTGGGTATTATGTTTTTAGAGAACGATACATTGAAGATATCTGTAAGTGGATGACATAAAATGCCTGCACATTTTTTAAATATGATACTAGAAACACCATCAGGACCTAAGCTTTGGGAGGGATTCAAAGACTTTAGACGTTTAAACACGTCATTCGTACTGAAACCTGGAAAGCAGCTATCCACTTGGTTCTGCACATCAGGAACAAATGACTTGTTTAACGAGCAGACATCCGAACGAGTTTGTATTGTCACCTGTTTTTTACCAGTATGCTCTTTAAATAATTTCCATATATTGGAGTTCTTACACCATAAGAACTTCTTGTTGTATATCGTATTCAGACGTTATATTTCAGACTTAATTGGGCAGTTAAGCCTCTTAACGCCAGGGTTATCTCTCGCCTCATATAACCTTTCCCTCTCTCTCCGAAGCCTCTTGAGGTGAGGAGAGGAAAGTCTGTCAAATCTCGTGTAAATTGTCTCAGTAGGGCAGCAGATATCGAGACAGAATCTGAGATAGCTTGTGATATTGGTAACAGTATTGTCTAAGACTTCATCAGCAAATATATCCCAATCCATTTCTATAAGCATGCTTCTCAAACGTAATATATTTTCTTGAGAATAGCATCTGTATTGAATTTTCCCTGAAAGGTGTGCAAAAGCTTTCTTGTACAATTTTCCGTACGCTTTAGGCAAAACACGAACCATACAATGGTCAGAATTAAGCAGTAAAGCCCGTTTACGGGCTTCATATATGCCAGGATCATTTGTAAATGCAAAGTCTAGAGTGTTGTCAAGACGAGTGGAAAAGTTAACCATATTTTTATGACCCGATGATAATAGAAAACTGTAGTCACATGAGTTAAAATCACCACAGACAATAGACAAGGAGTTTCCCAGAACTGGAGCAGCAAATTCAGTGAATTTATCAGCAAAAGTTGACAAATCTGAGAAACTGCAGTCAGGTGTGACATACATATTTGTGATATATATGTATTTGTATTTGTTCGAATGTTTTGGACGACATTTGATGGTAATGCACTCAATTTTTTCGCCAGAGAAGCAGAAGCACACATAGTTGGAGGAGGACCAGTTAGTACTAATAAATGTTGCTACACCACCACCACATATCTTCTTCGAAAAGCTTCGATCTTGTCGAAATAATTTGAAACCATCTAAGCAGATTAAGTCATTATCATACGGGTTATGAGGCGTTTCCTGCAGCATTACTACACCCGTGTTTCGATAAACATTTATGGACAAGAGTGACTGAAGGTAATCAACTTTATTCAGCAGCGACCTGCAGTTTGTGATGAGTATTTATAGAATAGTCATTTGATCTATGGTCATACACTTCAAAGCTCGTTGCCATCCACCGTCGTGCTTCTTCTTAGATTTCCTATCAACTTGCGAGGCGATAGGTTACAATGATCTTAAGAACGCACGAGAATATACAATACAATTGGTTGACATAAATAAACGATTAAAACAATATAGAAATAAGAAACTTGATGCAATATACCCGGTGATAGAAAATGGTAGGGAGAAACATGAACATAGAAAACACTCTCCTTGTTGAAATTCTTGCTTTCTCCGCCTGCTGCTTTGTCTGTTTTTTTCTCGTTGTAGAAAAATAATTCATTTCTGAACGTTTACTTGGTTTCCATCGGGAATTAATTACTTAAGGAACAGACCATGGCTGAAACCACCCTCCTTGGAGGGTAACCACGTTCAGAATACCTAACTACAACAAGCAGAAATAAAAATGTTCACTGGACTACAACTTCATAATTATCAAAATCTAGGATTTTCTCATTACAAAAGTGGCCAGCAAAGTCCAACACTTACCAACTGCAAGGCTGTCACGACCCGTGAAAAGGAAGGACAAGATGTTCTGGAAGTCCATTTGGTGCATTCAAACAAGTCTGTTGCTTCTGGATGCTAGAGCCGGAAAGGTGAAGATATTTGGCTTTCAGACATATTATTCATCAAGATTATGAATCATTGTCGTGGAATGGTATTAACATGTATGGATTATACAGTCCTGGAATCATCAATGAAGTGTAATGTGTCAACAATTCATGCATACATTCCTTCATAAACTTTTCGTCATTATCTCAAGTAAAAAGTACAAATCGTTACAATGGAAGTATTAACTTCAAGCTTTATTTTTCTCCAGGTAATGCATGTAATGTTTAGATACAAACCTTGTTTTTCTGTTAGTGTGAAGACAATACTTCTACTTGTCCAACTAGTAAGTTTTTGCATACTTATTCTTCTGGGATGTTCCATCATATAAACATGCAGCACTTATATCCTCTAGTGACAACGGGTAGGGATTGAGATTTCCTTCCATAAAGATACATGTAATTCATGTAGAAACTTATTCATACCCATAAAAGTGGTGTGCTTGTATATTCGGGAATAAATATCATTATTAAAAGTGCTACTGAGGAAGGCGCTACTCTAAGCACTGTGTGGTGAGTACGTTGAGGAAACATGTTTTGGAAACAAGCCTAGATTCATGGGATGGCAATATGGAAAAGAGCTCCTGAAGAAAATCCTCCCTACCGGGGCTATCCGAGGAGCATAGCTTTTTAAACGTCACAGTGGTTATTACCACCCTGATTCAAGAACTGTTGATTTTGCATGATTCGAAAGCACATCCTTGCAAGATCAGTGGTATCTGACAAACAGTACCTGAAATACAAACCACGGAACCGCTTTGCGTGCATGAAATACATCATCATGTAATTAGGGCAACGCCCATGACATAATGAGCAAACTAGGAGGATCGAGAGGTATCTGCTATCACTCGCCAGGAGAAATGAAACTAGTGGTCGAAATGTGAAACCACTATGTGGCTAGGATAAGAAAGTGAGTTTTGAAATGACTCTGTAAAAGCATGAAGACCTAAACAGGAGGCAGTTTTTCACCACGCAATTTCATGCCTATAATCCACAACTTTGCAAAGTTTTGTTTAAACTCCACTGTCTGAGTTTTAGTGGTAAAAGTCTAAGCAGATTCCTCTAACCATGTGGAGGTTCATTACTGCATTTGCGGGCATCACGTCAGCCCACGAAGATGAAGTCATCATTTGTGACCCTAAACTACCAACAGATCTCTGGAAAGATGAAAGATTGAACTTTCCGCCCTCTGTGACTTACCTGAACTTATGATTTCAATCTTTGGACCGCTTACAAGTCCTAAAGATGACACTTGTTGTATCACTAAGACGTTCAATGGCTGTCGGTTTTCTTAGTTACAACATTGTATGAAAGCCTCTCTTTGAAACTGCAATATAAATTTAGCATCTAAATGCATGGTTTATGCATCGACACAAGTTTTTGAATTGAAGATGCAAAACCGAAGTCCTTAAGTCTCTCAGCTATTGAAAATTGGACGGCAAGGTCACTTTTCTTAGACAGAAGGCTAGTGTTTCGTTTTCCGTTCCTGTTGTGACTTGCGAGAATGGGTTCGCTTTTCAGAAGCGAAGAGATGCAGTTATCTCAGATGTTTTTGCATACTGATATAGCTTACATGTGTATATCAGAATTGGGGGAGTTGGGATTAGTCCAGTTTCGTGATGTGAGCACTGCCGAATAAATATCATTGTTTTAGACTGTCCCTGGTACCAACGCCTTCCAGAGAAAATTTGTGAACGAGGTGCGAAGATGCGATGAAATGGATAGAAAGCTACGTATGTTATTTGTTATAACTTCATTTTTAGACAGGGTTTTTAGAGAAAGAGATTGAAAAAGACAAATTTCCTATATTGGATACTGGAGAAAATCCTGAAGCTCCCGCTCCTCGTGAAATCATAGATTTAGAAAGCATATTCGAGAAACTAGAAAATGAGCTTAAAGAAGTTAATTCAAGTGCAGAAAAGCTGAAAAAGACATACTTGGAGTTGTCAGAGTTAAAACAAATTTTACGCAAAACTCAAACCTTCTTTGACGAAGTACGTGATAACTGGTGGTTTCTGCTTTCGTGGAGCTAATTTATTTTAAATCGTGAAGAGTAACTTCTTCGTACTGACTATGCTGTATGTTTTCGTGGGTTGTAATCCAGCCACACGCCGTAGCAGATGTCAACATTTGACTGCTAGTCAACAATTATCAAGGCGTGCGGCGTTTTGGCACCCGTAGTAGTAGTAGTAGTAGTAGTAGTTGTTGTTGTTGTTCCTGTTATTATTTCGTAGGGTTTACAAAATAAGAGCAGTTCTGTCAGAACTTAAATTTACCGATAGACCTCACTTTTCTATGAATGTTTGAGGTTAGTTCTTCAGTGAAATGAACGCGTATGTTAGTTCAAGTTTAGGACACTGTTGTAATGACTTGATGAACAGCTTAAAAGCTTTCAGCTCAGTTCGTTACTTTTCAGTAACATTGTGAGGAAGAACAACTAAATTACAGTGAACCGAACTAATATTAATGGACATTGAATGGAAGCAGACGAATAATCATGGTTTTTGTCACTTGGCTGGGTTAATTCAGGACATGTAGTTACAAACATCTAGTTGAAATGTAACTTCATTTAGTGGGTATTATAAACTATCCGGGCAGCAAGATGTACGCTCTATCTTATTGTTTGGTCTATCAGTTTTTTCAAAGTTTATTTTTGCAGCTGCACGGCTGTTTTTTTTCTTGTTCACAAGCCATGTTTTGACGTGAGTTCGCTTGTGAAGTATCTGCGTGTATTCATGATCTTATACAAAAGTGTCGACAGAATAGTCAACATGCATGGAAATACTGCTACTTAAGTCACACTCAGCTTCGTGTGCTCCAATAATTTACACGGGGTTATCAACTAAGTGCTCTAAATTCGGTAGACGGGTAGTTTTTAAACACGTTTAAGTAGTTGGGTATCGAGGCACTGATTATATGTGCTTCTGAAATGTCTTCACAGAACTGTACTTTAGAATACAAAGTAGGTTCATGTTCAACTGTGGATTCTAAGGATTATTCATTCGATAATAGGGTATAAGGTAGTCACAACTTAAAGGCAAACATGTTTGGTATTCATAAAGAAGTAATGTAGGTTTGTCGCATGCAAAAACTACCAGGCGTGCATCTTCAAGTTGCTTTTTCTGAGATGATAAAGGTATTAAAGTAGGAACAGCTGTCTGTTTGAGCCGTAGTTGCGTCATGTTATGCACTGAACATGTCTAGCCTGTTTCACATATCCACATATTTTTATGCAATTAGTGTTCTGTCATGAGTCGTGAAAGCATCCTATGTTCATATTGGGGTTCTAATGCTTGGTTACATACTTCTGTTAGTTTTGGGTTTTTTTCTTTCCTTAGTTGCTTTGATGTTCCTGGATTTGTGAAAGTCACAAGAGTATATTCGTTTAAAACCAATGCAAAGTAATCAACTGCAACTAACGAAACTAATGACCTTATCGGATTTATTAGTGTGATTCATACGTTAGATTAGTTTAATAAGTAAACTTTCATTACTGGTGAGTCTGCAGCAATCCGTAGTTATGAACTGCTTTCAAACGGTTGGTTCAAATCCTACCAGGAATGGCTGCAGAGAATTCACGTTTGTAATGATAAGTTGTGCCAGGGGGAAAATGAGTGTTGCAAAAACAGGTTGTGCTTTGGACATCTTCAGGTCGTCCATTGCTCTTTTCCTTATTATGTTATGGTTATCTTTTATTGCCTGAGCCGTTGTCTGGTCCTTTTGTCGGTTCGTCCGACCTCGGTGTTGTACTGGTGTGAATAAATTAGTGCCAAGCTTTACCGACTGAACGTCTGACCATACCTTCCAATGATTTGCCCCTTCGTCGACTGACTCGCAAACAGGCGCTGCATGATCCTGCGATGTCGGAAGAAAATATTGGACTTCTTGGTGGTGAAGGAATGAGTGCTAGTGGCGCTGCTGGTGGATTGCGGTTAGGGTAAGTTTCATTTTTATTCATGGTGTTTGTGTTGAGTTTATATATTCGTCTGTGGTTTTTTAGGCTAACGTAGGATCTCTTGACTTGAACCCGGAGAGTGATCCCAACCGTGCTTATCAAGAAAAAGATTACGGAAATTCCCCTGGTAAACATAAACGCCATGTAGAGTGAGTGCACGGAAATTGCCGAAATCGCTTACTAATTTGAGGTGCTTGTAAATCGTCAGGGCTCTCTGCTTTGATTGTTTGTGGTTACGAATAGTTGCAACCGCATTTATTTCTGATTTATTCCTCCAATCTTTTTATGCGTATGGAATGTAATTTTTGTCACACAAACGTGTTTTCCTCCCCTCTTACTATGTTTGCGCAAATGCAAAGCAGTACTCCTTCTTAACTTTTTTTTAACATGTTGAATCATTGGTGAGGTTGTCAAACGGCCGGGTTAGTATTCACTTTTGAGGTTTGCAGAGAATTGATTTATTTCAATGGGGCCTTCATTACAGATCGACAAGCTAGGTGCACTGACCTGTTTCATTCCAGTTTGAGACTCCTCAAGGATGCGCACCCTCAACTACGTGAGAAATCTAGCTTGACTGTTCTCTAACTGTTGTCGTCCCGTAATAAAAACATTTTTAAGACTTGTTTGAAGATTCTCGTTTTGTGGTATGAGCTGTGGCTCAGTAATTTAGAGGATGACTATCAACCAATGGGTCATGGGCTCGAACCCCCTCCTCCTGTCGAGATTTGGGCAGCTGGGTAGTGTCAGTAGTCCCTACACAATAGGTATGGCTCATTACCTACTGCATGAATGTGCCCGTTGTGACTGAACGCGTTCCCCCTGTTGGTTTCATATGTATGTTCTGGGCTGACTCGTTACTTTAGTGAAAGAAGTCTAGTGGAATATATACTTTTCTTAACCAGTCAGTAAATCCCTATCATTTGTTAAGAGAAAAAGAACACTGCGAAACACGCTACTGACCTATTCTTCGTTAGGAAAATATCTTGGTTGCTGTGATCTAGTGGTTAGGGCTTTGCGTCGTGGTTCTGTATAAGTGCTGGTACACACAACTCTTAAAGTTATCGTTTGTGTTTCCTTAACGCTATTTGGACAACTGCTTTTGGGACCTAAGGTTTTGGTAATGATGTTAACCAGACTAGTTCTCTTGTAGCTGTCGAAGGAATTTTCTCTCCTTGTAAAGTGGGATGTGGTGACACAGATCAGTATAGAGCAAATGATGTCTGACTTTCGCGCCACCTCTCAATCCAGCAAGGATAACAGAATTTTCAAATTGCTGCAACCGAAAGCAATATCAGTTGCATGGATTTTTTTTAGTGAATATTTTACCCTCTAATCTGGGTGTGCTCTTTTTTTGTATTAGTAATGTTTCCTTTGTTTAATTTTCTAATTTCTTGCTATGATACGTTTTTGTATCAGCTTGTGTTGGTTCATGCATAGAACATATACAGACAAAGCAATTTGGACATAAAATATCAACACCAGAGCTGTCATTACGGTCCAGGCTTCCTCACCTTATATCGGCACATCAAGCGAAAGTGCTCTTAGATGAAAGAATAAAGAAAAGAGTTAGAAGTGTTAAAAAGTCATAAAAAAGTAGCAAGGGGGAATGAGCGAATACTGAATGTTGTATGACGATTAAGATGAAGGTAATGTCATTAACATGTATTCTGAGACCCTAACTTGACTATCTAACCAACATTTCTGATTGTCACGCAAACCCCAACCGGAAAGTTTATATTTGCCCAAAGGCTTACACGAATAGTGAAAGTCTTCATGTACTAATTCCTGTAACCTTTCACCAGCCTGAACGTATTTCATTATGGGGTGAGGCAGACAGTACCCAAGCATGCGTAATACGTGTCTAAGCCATATGAGTCGATGGAAGTTCACAACCTTATCGACTGACTTTCCTCTTCTGCCTAAAACTCTACGCCTAACTTCTAAATTACTGATGTGGTGGCACCAAGACAAAATACTTATGCTACGAAGTTAACGGTGACCGAACACCTGGAGCTTCGTCGTGTCCTGTACCTTTAGTGGTCATGTTTCACGACCATGTAATGAGATAGTGAATTGCAGCGCAGTCCATTAGGCCCCTAATAGACTGTCAAATACAACGTGGGGGTCATAATTGACTTAGTTTAGGCAAGTCTTGTATCCGCGCGGGTTTTCCTCAGTCATCGGCACACCAGCGCTTATCCGACTTCCCAGGGGAGTGAAGTGGTCAACCCACTCAACTACTTAAGTTTTTATTGTTCGACAACGCACCAACGAAGCTCAGTCCTGGGACAACGAATCGCGTTCAGGTGATGAGAAGCGCAATCAAAATATTCTCGATTTGTTACTTGAGGTGACCAGTAGACTGCATTTGTCAGCATCATCTAACAAGACCGTATCATCCGCTTACTATACGTCAACTATAGAGTCTCCTTTGACAGGATAGATCCTCATGAAGTCAACACGGAGCCTCACACAGAAGTGCATCGTTCCAAACTTCCACAATTCATAGCAGTGGAGTAACAGATTCAAATAAAAGATCATTTTTAGTCTGAACACTCATGAGTTTAGTCGAAAACGTGTTGTAGGTTTCATTTTTTGAATTCACAGAGATTCACAAAGGAATCATAGCGATTTACAGTGGTCAGTAGTATGCAAGACGTGAAACGATAAGTACTTACACGCTTCCGGAAAGCCGACATTAAGAGACCGAATATCGGAAACATGGTTCTTAGAAGCTAATGGTCCAGTCACAAATTAGTAGACCCATCTGATACAAGCGTTATTAACATGAGAATGATTATTTAAACATTTTTAAACATTAGTAAGTGCGTCATTCCGTCATTTCAGGACAACTATCCTAATTATTAACCCATGAGTAAAAAGGTTTAGTCTGCATCTGATTAAAAACGATACTTATTGATCTGTGGTAAGGTGTCGTTTTTCGCAAAATAGGGATGATGCAGCCTGGCTGCTTAAAATGTCACTAGGTGAAGCAGTATTTAATTTTTCAACCACATTATTTCAAGGTTATTTGTTTACTTACAGGAATGGGCAACGTTTTTTGAAAGTCTAGAAATTAGCTGTCTTCTGACTGTCTGGATGTTCATTGTGACACTAATCACACTTCCGTTAGCGACTGTAATCGTTGTGCTTTATGTTCCTCAGTCGAAATACAGTGTACGTAGTTTATGGGGATAGTTGTGAAGCTAACTTGAACTTATACATTGATAGTGATTTACGTCTGATCAGCCGGTCATAAACAAGAAGTGATTTTGGTAGATAATTGTTTTCATAAATCATAGATTTTCTGTTATTCACTATGACTTCACTGTTTTCGGGAGTTGTGTCCGCCCGAACGAGCTGGGTGCTCAAAAGTTCTTAGCTCAAAAACAAAAAGCCCGATCGACATTTGCCAGTTCGCATTATCTCTGGAGGCGACTGTCGAGATATCCAACTACCTATTAAAGGACGAGTACGCTGCACTGCAGTGCAGTGCTCTCCTACATTATACATCTGTGGAACATGGCATCTTAAAAGTTGAAGATATGAAGAGATTACGGGTTTTCGACACACATGTGTCTTCGCAGCACTGTTTACTTATATCGGGATCAGCGTGTGAGCAATGTTGAGGTTAGACGGAAGTTACTTGCTAGGCGAATCAGTTGGTGAGGTTGTGAACCTTCAGTGACTGAAGCGATTATAACATGTTTCGTTCATGCAGAGGCTCGATTAGCAATGCTAAGAGAAGTTGGATTAGGTTGGGAGAAGATTCAGGGTGGACAGATCATGAAATGACATCTGTCTATGAAGCTACTGAGTGTTGGTCTGAGCTACGTGAGGGGATGCAGATTAACCCGACTGGTGTCGTCGAGACGATAGGAATCAGCAGTTGGTGACCCTTGGAGAAATTGTTGAAGATGGGTGACGATGGTGCAGATACACTCACTTGTTGGAGTTTTTTTGCAGTTTAAACATTTTCACCAACCTACATTTTTAGAAGATTCTTTCTTCTTCACTTTGATATGAATCCATTCCTACCCATTTGTTCTTTGTGTGCTACTGTGAAGTATTGCAAGTTGAATTGATGCACTTCTTAACGGGGTTGTACATGGGTTAATCTCCTATCTCGGTTGGTCAGTGGCAATCTTTTTGTAAGCGACAGATGGGCATTGACAAATAGCGTTGTATTTAAAATTACAGTATTTCCTGGCTTTTTAAGGCGGTTGTACCCAAGTTATGAGTATCTTCATAATGCAGCATGTGAATCCTACACGGGTTTCAACTGTCTTTTATAACAGTTTTTGTAATATTCAGTTCCTCTTTGTTATGTTTATCTTATTTACCTTCATGGTTGGTTACCTTAGGACTGCTGGGTTTAGTAAATTGCTTCTTACTCGTAGACTGCTCATCAAACGTATTGGGAATTCTCAGCTAGGAGTTATTTTTAGTTAATTTGGTGTGCACGGAACGAAGTGGATAAATGAGGATGACGTCAAAACTATTTGAATAAGTTGCATCGGAAATTTTGAGGCAGATTAGAAATCTGATTCACATATTCAAGGGAGAAATATCTTGAAAAGCTTTGTCAGATAGTGCTCTTCTTGGTTATGATTACACCGTTTATCTTCTGTCATCATTCATGAGCTGTATGTGTCAATAAATTCAAGAATTCACGTATGTAGTACTACATGTTTTCACAGTATTTCTTAGTTATTATCACATTGTCTATTACACTGTAATTTTCCCAGGCATAGCAAAGATAATTTATCAATCTGGTGCTTGTTAATCCCACAAGTCCTCTTCCTCTCATGCATCTTTCTCTATTTGGTGATATTAATCTTCTTCAAATGGATGGCGTATACCGCAGAGACTGCTTCTTTGGCTCCAAGTCTTATTAATTATTCATTAAGTTTATTATTTATATTTCTACAAAAGTTTGTGAATAGCGTCAATTTATTAGCAATGTATGTTTTGTGAGTGTTTACGCACGATGTTATTTAACTAAAAAATGTCATTGTGTGCAAGCATTCACTAAAGATATATTTTTAATAAATACGTTTATTCATTTGCCGTGTTTGAGAAATCTAAATGAGAAGTAATTTTGCTAAAAAAAGAGAGACAAAAGCAACGTAGAACCTCTCACACAAGTGTATCGGTTAGATTCGTCACGCTTTACAGTAGTTTGCCTAAAATAAGGAATCAATCTTTGAAGTAGCACATCTGGTTGAGCAAAGGCGCAGTAGAAATCATCGATACATGTAACAGAATGCAACCACCTCAAAAGAAAGTTTATATACCCTGATACACGTAGAGTCACACTGAAGGTCTGTGGTTGAGATGCCTTTTCCTTCCCAGGGTGACTAGTAATGTAGTATTTATTTGTAAACATGCAGTTTGTAGAATTCTATCACTGATTTACATTTACTTACTTGAAACAAATTTTCTTTAAAACTGTCGTCCAAAGTAGCAAGCAGCCTCCTGGTTGATAAAGTTTTGTGATTGCAATATTTTTGAAGTGATTAACTCCTCGTTGCTACAAAGCGTGTGATTACGTGTGGTTTGAATGATGGAAGACCTGGTAAAATATATCATTACATACTAATCAAGTAACATTTTATTTTGCCTGAACATAATCAGTCACTAAATTTTGTTGTTCCCATTGTTTAAAAAAAGTCAATTCTATGTTTTTAGTGAAACCAGAGATCAGGTTCACAAGCAAGCCAAAAGTGCACATCCTTAACAGACATCTGCGTAAGATTATAAAAATGTTAAAGTACTTCGCAACGCTAACATAGGAGAACAGCAAAACAGTCCAGATCATAGGATGGAACTAGGTATCTGATTTAACTTGTCTTTCATTCAACACTTGTCTCAAAAAGATTAAAAAGTTAGGCTCTTAAAAACAGAGTATCTGTAAGTGTTAGGAAATGATAATACGGAGATGGGTCTTGGTAAAGCCGGATATTAAAAAAGGAGTAGGCTACTAACCACCTACCTCCCTACTACCATAATGTCCTTCTGCTTTGCATCGCTTCAGGTCTAGAACAGCTTCAACTTCGAAACCAGCTGGAAGACTGCTATCTATGTCCCATTCAGTTTTGGACTTTATGCTGAGGAAACAAAAGGGTTGCTTTGTGCCATTTAAACTGGGCTTCAAAGTGTTCCGCTCAACATTGCAGCCATCTGTCCTGAGAGACAGTCACAAAATGATTCTCCGCGATGATGTCACTGACCTTCGTCTTACTCGTATTTTTAATAAACCTAAACGATTGCCGAGTATTACCGAATGCCAATGCCTTCTTCACCTCTTTCGCTTTTGGTCACCCACCAGTGCTCACTATCATTGCGAAAACTCTTAGAAAATTCACATTTGAATTGCTTTTGATCCTCATTGTGGTCAGCTGGAACGATTCTTGGCTCAATCAATTTGGATAAGATTATGGAAATTTTCCGGATTACCAACTGTCGTAACCGTTGTTTCTACGGTAGACTGAATATTATATCAGGCATCATCAGAAGGAAAATTGTTGTCATGTTCAGATGAATGTTTAGCTATCCCCCTGAATACAAACTTGACGCCCTCAACTTGTAGTCCAGCACAAATAGTCTTCATTGCTGCATGTTCTCTGTGACCAGTAGTGCACGAACGTAAACGTGCCTGTACCAACGGGTGGCCGGAGTTCAAGCGGGTACTCTAGAAAAACAACCATCCTCCATTGATCCCCTCCAACGACGACTTGCACCAATATGGTCTGTTTATGTCCTTCTTTGGTCTCCTGTCAGATGATGTCGAGCAAATTTGTTATGGAAATTTAAAAAGCAGTCGGTTAAGGAACTTGAGTACACCCATTTTTAGTTGGGTTTTAAACAGGGAAGATACTGCTTTCCATGTGTATTTATCCTTCCTTTTTTTCTGTACTTATCATTATTGTTTTCATTGTTTTCAATACTTTGCCCTGACTTCTTGTTTGTCTTCTGTTGTGAACCGTAGTAATAGAGATCGATCCAAAACCACTTCTGCAATTGTTATTACATTTTTATATGGTCCTACCTACATCCATTGTCCCAGACTAGCAGTCGAGTCAGTCAGGGCTACCCGATCGCATCAGTCCTATATAACCTTGCCGTCGACATTCCGGAAAAAATCCCAAAGGGTGTGCATAGTGATGATGGTAGTGTAGACCATTAACCAGGTGAGACTTTTCGATCTGGAGCATTCAGATTAACATCATCGTACTGTTAGAAAACATACAGACTACTCAAATCAGCTGACAATCATTATCCGTAAAGTGCCTCTACAAGACTGGGAGTAACTTGTACCCGATGCCACCCTTTGTAATGAGTGAACCGTTGAAAGATGTCAAGAAGTTAGTGCACGTGGATAGTTGTGTGAGTGCTGGTGGATATGTGACTGATGAAGTTTCAAAGTGTATATTAAAAGGCAGAGTGGCATACACCAATATAGGTCAGCTTTGGCACGATTGTGATAACGCTGCTGTAAAGGGTTGAGTATGCAACACGTCGATGCATGTAGTTCTGGCTCACACTTGTGAAATCTGACCTCCGAGCTGAGAATGTCCGACAGCTTGACATGTTTAATCACCGTTGTCTCTGTAGAATTGCTCGCATCCAGTGGTAACATTAAATAGTTCTGAGGTGAGGTGTCGTGTGTTTTCGGGTGTGATGTGGATCGTGATTCATCCACTGTGGTCGTCTTGAAATACTAGTTTTGGTTATCTGAACATGTTACCCATGTCGTCCCAGCGGCTCCCTCACTGCTCAAGAACAGGTTGCAAGAAGTGGGTAAGTGATTAGTATATATGACGTGAAGTCGTGGGATCAAGAGTATTCAAAAAATACAAAGTAATTCAGCATCCGTAGGTGCTTCACGACCATTTGTATTGGGTCTGTAAGGTGATACATCCCAGTAGTTTGAGACGATACCAGGGGTGCGACAGACTCGAAACCAGTAGCGATCATGCTACAGTTTCCTTGTTTCCTTTGTTGTCGAAAGATGAGATGGAAGTAGTGAGTGCTTCTTCGGATGTATATTTGAGACTGCTTGCTTTTCCGTTTCCTCTGCCTTTATGATGTTGCACTACTGTTTTGAGTGTGGCATCTATTGATGCCTGTGTTGTACCAAGTTTGTTATCCTAATTGATAATAGTGTAGCAATCCACATGTTCTTCACATGCTGCTGTGAAGTGTGGCGACTTGAACCGAAGCACTACTGTGCCATTTTCTTTGTTAACTTGGTGTGTTGTTAGTGAGCTATACCTATATTGTGTTCAATTTTCAGTGAGTCCTAATTTTTGACCTCATTATTTCCGTTTCAGGCTTTTGTTTGTTAACTGCTTGTGTCTGTGTTACTGATGTAGATGTATAAATTACGATGGTTGAGTCAGAGGTTTGGACACTTCGTCACTTGCTGAAATTCGAACAATTTAATAGTACCATAGGCCCTACATTATATATATATATATATATATATATATATATATATATATATATATATACATATATATTACATGGTTAACTCAGTGCATCGCGACCTTTTCGCGTTGCATAGGTATTGCAACATTTATGAATCAATGATATATACTGTATTTGGATTAGGAAGTACTTCGACCCTCATAGGCACTACTTCGAGTTGCATACTCAGGTACAGTCAGTTTGCAATGTGTCCCGGGTTCATTTTGTCAGTGTTTCCTATTGAGACGCTTCTCAAGAATGTGACTAGGCTCGGGTTCTCAAAGCTGTTTTTTCAGTCTCCTTAACAATTAAACGTAATTGCAGACCCGTTACTTTTCGGTGAGGAAATTGCAGTGTGCTCTTGCTCCCCCCACCACCGTGTTTTCTTCATACTTTTTGTGAATAACCTATAGCTTAATGTTATAGGAATGTATCGGTTTTGATTTTATTCCTCTGCTTTATTAGATTCCTCGCTGGAATCATCCTGCGGGAACGGTTACCGGCTTTCGAACGAATGCTGTGGCGCGTTTGTCGGGGAAACGTTTTTCTTAAGCAAGCGGAGGTGGATGATCCACTGGAAGATCTCACAACGGTAAGTAAACGCATAACTTTCGACAGTTTCGGCAGTTAGAAAGTGTTAATCACCTACACAACTGTCAGTACTGAAGTCGCCTCAGATTACTGTCAACCATCCACATCTTATCCTTCTAAACTTTCTTCACTGTTGTCAACCAATATTCCTACGTTATCTTTAATGTCTTCCAGCTCTACGGCCCTTAATAACTATCCGAGTTTATGGAACAGCATTCGTGACCTCCTGAAATCCCGCTTCCAACTACATATTGATTGTGTCTCCAATCTTATGTCAAGATAGCACTAAAGACGTTTCCCCCAAAAGTGTCAGTGGATCCCAGCAGCTTCTTCCGAATCCATGGATGCTCGTGAACGCATTTGTGCTGTCTCCGAAGACAATGAGGAGCCGAAGCGACTCAAGTGTAGATTAACAAGAAGTCTACGTAATAAGGGCAAAGAGTGGAGGGTAACCAAGGTTAACGAGATGGAAAGGGTAGTGGCGATAGTAAACAGTAGACAGTTATTTAGACTTATCAAGGAAACCGGAGTAAGAAAGGCCAGCAGTTAGTGAGACTATAGCGCAAGCGGATGGGTCTGCGATTCACCGCTGGAGAAATGACTGGAAATATGTGCTGAAGACTTCGAGAAACAGTTCAGCTGGCCTCTATCTATTCTCTTACGAGTTATCCAGTCGGGTTATGAATGGTCCCCATCTTCTGTAATAGTCGAGAAGGCTTTAGTTAACCTTAAACAAGGAAGCGCAGTACATCTAGAGACATTAGTACAAAAGGTTCAGCAGTCGAGGGCTATTGGTCGAAATAACCAAAGCGTTGGCAAGCTTCTGGGAGTTATGTATGGTCTCTGGCTGATCCCAATCACTCAGTGTAATACACAATTTTTAGTAACGAGGTTATACATTAAAACTTGATCTAATTCCGCTGGCACCATCAGCTCACTTGTGCAAGACTGTCAGGAATAGAAATGCAGTCCTATGTTAATAACATATCACCACCTTCTTGGTCATCTTCACTTTTTAGCCTCGACCAGGTTTAGATGACTTTTCGGTTATACTTCACTAAATATACGAGACAAAACTCAGTTCTTTAGTTTTCTTCGTCATTGTCTCACTTTGGATTTTGAGGAAAGTCATTGACCAAGCGTCACTAATCAGTTGATCGACATCAACATAGGCTCAGGCATTACTGCGTAGCAGCTCAAGTTGGCACACCTCATGTCAGCACATCAAGGGAAAAATCACCGAGATCGAAAATAAAGGAATAGGATAATCGTTGTGAAAGAGCGGAAATAGTAAATGAGAGAAAGGATGGAATATGGAGATACTGAATTCAGTATGACGGTAAAGGCGAAGATAATGTGTGGATACACCTGCTCCACCAAAACTAATTCCAAACCGTGTCACCCGATGTCTCCAACCACTGGTTTATTATGTCGCGCGGAACCCAACAGGGAAGTTTTAGCCATTAAAGTTAATGAAGGTTTATAACCGGGTCATCTGATTTTCCTCTTTTAACTTCGGTAATAAGCTTTGATCCTTACGAAGAATTTGACTTCACTGATAACGTCTTTGTACATGAACATCATTCGTAAAACCACTAAATGCTCCGAGTTTTTTCTACTACGCATTTGTGTGTTGTTTGTGATGCTTATTGTTGTTTCTCAGTGAAATGAGTTGTCATTTTATCAATTGTGAGGATTCTGATCCCCAAATTGACTCTGAATAAGTAATGTGCATTTTCTAGACAGGTTCAGTCAACTAATACTGCTTACCGGAACTTCTTTTCTCTTGCGTCATTAGCAATATAATATGGTGGTTATGCACAAATGCTTGGTTTTTGAAGTAAATTTTTAATAGTGCAAAGAAATTTTGTTAGCTAATGTGGCTGAAAAATGCGCTACGCATATCGTTGCACCGGGTTATCTAAACGTCTAGATGCGTTATCAAGCTATGAAATTAAGCTTAGCAGGTATTGTGATAATTGTTGGCAAGATAATCGAAATCGATTGTTGATGACTCCAAGTGAGGTAAAACAAAGTACATGACTGCATTGCAGTTGTGTCTACGTCTTATCATTGTCATATTTCCCTTCCTTCATTTATTTGTGGAAGCATAGTTAATACTTTTGTTTCTTTTCCTTCGCGATGATTAACTTCTGCCTTGATTTTACCGATGTGCAATATGTGACACTTTAGACCGATATATAATTTTTTTTAAGTGCTCTGCTGTTCACTTCCATCGATTGCGAATGGTTGTTTTTCGTTGTGTATGGAATATGACTTTGTTTTTCATTTCAAAACAAGTTGTGGTGTTTGATGAGAGTTTTCTGTATTTCCTACAGGGTGCACCAGTCCACAAATCCGTATTTTTGGTATTCTTTCAAGGTGATCAACTTCGAACTCGTGTTAAAAAGATATGCGATGGGTAAGTGTGATATTCGATTTCTAGACATTGATTTTACGAACTGTTTTTCCTGTTTAGATTGCTTTGTTTCGTATCAGGCATTTCATCTTAGGTCTTATGGCTCTCTAGAGTTTTTCGCGTAAAAAAATTCTCGCGAAGGAAATTTTATTCACAAGGACACTTACAGCAACAACCTTTCACAAGCACCTTGGAGCTTAACACCGGGTGTTCCAGTGATGACTTCAGTTTCCCCAGACAGTACATTATTTAAAAGTAGCTTTCAAAAACTATTGGACACCATTTTCACGGTAGTCGTGGTCACTGCATCTATCAAGAGACATTCAACTCCCACTTTATTTATGCCCTGATTATGAATTCAATAAGGATTAGGCGCTATTGATTTCATCTTCTTTATTGTAGTGATCCAAACCTCTTTGTGAGCCCAGACATTGTAATCGTATGGTTTGGCCCTTTTATTACCTACGTCGTAATGCTATCTTACGTGCACTATACCTTATTATTAGTTCTATTATTATTCTAAGATAATTAACTCACAATCAGGTATATTATGCTAATCAGTGCCACATATGAGTTCACGGCGCTACATTAAATAGATACATAAATCAAAATACCGCATTTCTATATTCGTGCTTACTTAGAACTATCATCTGATGTAATTGCAACCACCAGGGATGTAAACAAGAAAATGAACCGCAACTCAGCAACCACTTACACTGTCGTGAATAAGCAGTGATCCATATCTGTTGTGTGAGGGTTAATGATGCTGCCAGTCTGTAGGGATTTGTGTAGGTGAGCCAGGGTTTAAACTCACGAACTGCTGGTTGAAGGTCGACGACCTAGACCAGTGAACCATAAGAACTGTCCCATATCATCATCATTGACTAGCTTCGCTTCCTAGCTCTCAGAGATTGGTTCGCTTGACTTGCAGAACGCAGATGACATAACACTGTTAGTCGGACCGATTTGCATGTGTTTCACACCTGTTAAATGTAAGAGGATACTTCATGGCTGGTTTTACCTGTGACTCCTATTTTAAGAATAAGAAATGAAGTGATAGAATGCATTGAACATTTACATGATAATGGACATCAGTTGACTGCCAACAAAATCCTGGCACTTATACAAGGTTTTGATTTAGCATTTGCCAGCTCGTGTCATCTCTTACACTGGTGAGTTAATTCGAACATCTACCACAAGATTAGTGCACTGCGCAGCAGTTTGCTTTACGGGCAATGGTTTTGTGAACCTTAGGGTACCAAGTTTGTTGTGTGTTACTCATTTCAGGCCAACATCTCGATACCCAATGCTAACTGCACTGGAATTAGTTTTATGAGAAAAGTACTAAGTCTTATCACATCAGGACATGACAGTTAATTTGAGCCGAAGGCGTAGAGTGGTTGATTGTGATCGTCGAGATATTAGAAATCAATCATTGAAAAACTGTACCTGTTTATTGTAATAACATTAAATTACCGTCAAGTTTTTCTTCCCATAGTGATACTAATCGTGGAAACTTAACTTAATACTTTTTTTGTGCAGGGTGTTGTTTTTACCTATTTCTGTCATCAGCGTTGGTACTCCATGTAAAAATATTCTTTTAAAGGGTTTTCCATGGTATAGATTTCTCAGTTAAGCATATCTATTGCAGTTGTTGCACATGGGTGTGATCACACAATAAGGGTTTCATTGTTTGCACTCAATTTCCGTGTTGTCGTTTTCTTGTATGTTGGTTTATTAATGTGGTTTGCTGCAGGTTACAAAACTGTGTGCTTCACTTATTTCAAGATTGAACTTTGTCGTATCAAAAACAGAGTAACTGTCGACTGGTTGGTTTTAAGACAAAAATTTTGTTTGAAATCAGTAGATTATTTTCTCCTTCATAAACAGCTAAAATCAGCTGACATGTAGCGGGTTTATCGGAGTCATAAGCGTTTTTTGACTTCAGTTCACTATCAGGTTTCCCATGGTGATGTTTTGTCGTATCTTGCCTACTGAGTCTGAAGTTTTTACTTATACATCTAGAAATAAAAATGTTTGTTGTCTGTAAAGTCTCACTGACGTGTAACTTACAAGTCACTTTTCCCACTAGGTTCCATGCGACGTTGTATCCATGCCCGGATTCACAGGCTGATCGACGCAATATGGCTATTGAAGTAATGGGCCAAATTCAGGATTTAGAAACAGTACTAACACAAACGAAGCAACACCGTCAACGCATTTTGGAAACCGCTGCTAAAAATCTACGAACTTGGTTTATAAGAGTCAGGAAAATTAAAGCTATATACCACACTTTGAATTTGTTCAATCTTGATGTTACTACAAAATGTATGGTCGGAGAGTGTTGGTGTGCAGTTAATGATGTGGATAAAATTAATTTGGCACTGCGTCGTGGGATGGAGCGTAGCAACAGTACCCTGCAACCAATTTTGAATGGGATAGTAACAACAGAAAACCCCCCGACGTACCATCGAACGAATAAGTTTACGTTTGCTTTCCAAAGTATCATCGATGCTTATGGTGTCGCACGTTATCGTGAAGTAAACCCTGCACTATTCACAATCATCACATTCCCATTCCTGTTCGCTGTTATGTTTGGTGATGCTGGTCATGGGTTGCTTATGTTTCTTTTCGCTCTATGGATGGTCTTGTGTGAGCGGAAATTAAGTGTAAGTTAATTTGAGCTTACTGAGTTTATAGAAATGTAATTCTAATCAATATTAATTAGTTTCTTAAGTCTTCATGTCCTATTGTGAAATATTTTATTCAGAAAAGTAATAATCTGTAAGCAATTCAGATATTTATTGCTCATTGGTCATCTAAACCTTGCTCTTAAACAGTTTTTAGTATATACCTACGAATTGTTTCGGGTCAGAAACATTTTCACCCTTGTCTTGTTTTATGTCTGAAGATTTGTGTATACAGAAATATTTAAAAAATGTGACACTGGAATTATCAGGTGAATTGACCAGTAACGATTTAGGATATATCCTAAATGCAACGCTGTCTAGTAGTAGAATTTGTAAACATTTAGAGTGATTGTAAGTTGATAACCTGTGCTTATCGTAAAACGGCTTTCTTTGCATTTTGAGTCTTTCCATATACCTAAGATACCTGAATTACTCACCTTTGAAAAGACTGTATTCTTGGCAATACAAGTGTCTTGAAAACTGTGACCTTATGGTACAAAAGAACTTCGTTAGTTTTGAGTCCTCAATTTTCGCACTATTAATGGTGAACTATGATACCCTTCAGTACACATGTAATGTTCCTAGTTATTTCACCACGACGAATCTCAATTAAAAAACAGAAACAAAATGAACTGAATACCCTGATTCAAAATAGCGCAACTTGCAGGTTATTCTTAGCACAATTTCCATCATGTTTTTGAGTCCTGAATAGCTATTTAGAAAATACTAGTCAGTGAAGTTTGTTTCAAAACTGATATTTATATCCAGTTACATAGTGACTATCACATCTTTAACACCTTACGGTATGACCTACAAAGTTTGTTTCAAGGCAATTGCTTAACTGGTATGTTATCGAACACGAAAAAATCAACGTAAAACCCTGTATAAAAGTGCATCAATTCAACTTGCAATACTTCACAGTAGCACACAAAGAACAAATGGGTAGGAATGGATTCATATCAAAGTGAAGAAGAAAGAATCTTCTAAAAATGTAGGTTGGTGAAAATGTTTAAACTGCAAAAAAACTCCAACAAGTGAGTGTATCTGCACCATCGTCACCCATCTTCAACAATTTCTCCAAGGGTCACCAACTGCTGATTCCTATCGTCTCGACGACACCAGTCGGGTTAATCTGCATCCCCTCACGTAGCTCAGACCAACACTCAGTAGCTTCATAGACAGATGTCATTTCATGATCTGTCCACCCTGAACCTTCTTCCAACTTGATCGGGCTTTTGTATCCAAGGTAAGACTGCGTTAACATCCAGCTCGTTCAGGCTGACGCAACTTCCTAAGTAGGTGAGTTGGTCGACGCATCCTACCATTTCACCCCCTGTCCTTAACCTGGATGTCGCTGCAGATCATTTTTGAAGGATCAGGTATCAAGCGTACGCAGAACGCATTCCAAAGACAATCAGATTTCTGCTCAAGGCTTTAAGTTAGGCTCTGTATTTCGTCAGTGTTTTAACCTTGAAGTTGTCGATAACTTCAGTTTGTAACGACTGCTTCTAAAGCATTCAGCATATACGAGATGTATGTGAACTAGTTATATATTTACTTATGACTTCTGAAACACCTTTCGACGCCATGGTACCACTTAATAGGACTTTAACAGCCAGATACCACGGATGATGTAATCGTTGAGACGTACGGGATATGGTCAGTTTCTATGATGCCTTGTGTGATAGTGGTGAGGGAATTTACCGAGCATTACGAATATTTTGCGTAGCCAGGATTCTCATCAACCCTTGTTGATTGACGAGTGACAAATAGTTCGCCTTTTGCCAGGTTGATCTACCTAATGTTGTTGATGAGAGACGAAATTTATATCAGCTCGCTCCAACTAAATGTTTGTGAAATATAATCGTTAGTCGTTGAAGCATACTAATACAAGTATTCGACTATAGTTTATCGAAGCATCACTCATGTTTGCTCGGTTATCGCGATATTTTCGGTTAGATAGACAAACATCAATGAAAAACTCGATCGAACTATCGATGATATACTTTACATTAGCACATCGATCAGAAGAAACAGCGAAAGTATCAAAATCAACTAAAATAGGCAATAAGAAAAAAAAAACTAGATTAGTGATAGTTTGCTTATGTCTAGCAAAAATAATTTACTTGGTAAGATCGCAAACCTTCATTCAGACAGATGCTTAGCACGTTTTTCGCACAAAATTGAATGTTGCGTGTGCCTCAATGTTCAATCCTTACCGTTTATGGAGGTGAGTTTAAAAAAGCCAGGGACTCTTCGAAAGAAAAGTGACATTTTATGAGTTTCGATTCGTGTGATTCTTATCAAGTAGTGTTAGCATCCCATCTCATATTCACAAGACAATCAACATCTTTTGAATTGACACATGCGTGTGTGTTATTTTAAGACCTTGAGTATTCAGACATTTTGTGGTTCTGTCTTTTCACGGAAAACGTAAGTATCCAGCTCTATCGTAAGTTATCTTAGTGATATCTTTATGGTGCTGTCAGTTCTTTTGTCTTTGTTTCACTAAGTTTTCCAATTCATTCGTTTTTTTTCTCGGGTACTTACGTGACAATTTTTTCTTGATTGGTGTGATATATAGGCTAATAAATCTGGTGGTGAAATTTGGAATATATTTTTCAATGGTCGTTATATTATACTGCTTATGGGCCTATTTTCAATATACACTGGGTTGATATATAACGATATATTCTCTCTGTCTGCCAATATTTTTGGATCTTCTTGGTACCCAACGTACGACAATCAAGCTCTATTGCCAGGAGTCAGACTTCAGTTAGAGCCTCGCACAAGTGTTAATGTATCTGACCGAATGTATGCTGGTTATCCTTATCCTTTTGGTTTGGATCCTGTCTGGCAGTTAGCTGGTAACAAAATTATGTTGACTAATTCCATCAAGATGAAGATGTCTGTTGTTTTGGGGGTACTGCATATGTTGTTGGGTATTTCTTTAGGTGCTTTTAACTACAGGTAAACCATCCATGTGAATGTATTTTGCTTTTAGTTTACCCTTACTGTTTTTGGATCAAAAGTTATCACTTTTTATCTGATTTGTTTCTGTGAAAAATGTAATCATTCATTTTATGCTGTTTGTAAGTGAAAAAGGTTGTTGAAAAATTCTCTTCACTCCACAAGTTTTGTTTTTCTCGCATTGATGAAGCTTTGTTTTCATTCGCACTGCATATCATATGACTATTCGTTCACATTGTCAAAATGTATGCTCTTCTAGGGTTGTTATTAGGAGCTAGTTTATCTTTTCATTCCAAATCCTGTGAAATAAAGTAATTTATTCATCGTGAATTTTACTACTAGACAGCTAGGCAAAAAGTACCGTTTCAGTCACCTACATAGAACATGCTTTCCTTCATTTTAGATTTTCAGATAAATGGCACCAAATGAATTAAGCAACTGTGTGCTCAGTTTTCAGTATATGTATTTCCCCTTCATCTGCCTTTTTGTATTTAAATACCTCAGACGATGTCATTATAGTTTCTTTTTGTGGTTGTTGCAGCAATTTCACTAAATATAATTCCTGTTTACTAACTCATATCAGTAATGCACGTGTGAGCTAATTCATACAATTCATCACTTTGTTGAACATTCTCAGTTTATATCTGTTGAATACACCAATATTCATTCCAATCCTTTGTTAAGTATAGAAATTCACCACTTGGAAATTGAACAATTAAGGGCCTATTTTTTTGTTAATAGGAGACTTCCTCAATTTCGCGAAGGAAATATAATAAGCTTGAGTTAATCACCCAAAAAGTCGATTTTCATATGTTCTTAGCAGTGTTTGACATTACTTCTTAAACACGCTTAAACAATTTCGTTTGTATTTACTGTAAACGAATGCATCGACCACTTCACTAACTTGGAGAGTTGCGTCAGCCCGAACAAGCGCTGGGTGCTCAAAAGTTCTTAGCTCAAAAACAAAAAGCCCGATCGACATTTGCCAGTTCGCATTATCTCTGGAGGCGACTGTCGAGATATCCAACTACCTATTAAAGGACGAGTACGCTGCACTGCAGTGCAGTGCTCTCCTACATTATACATCTGTGGAACATGGCATCTTAAAAGTTGAAGATATGAAGAGATTACGGGTTTTCGACACACATGTGTCTTCGCAGCACTGTTTACTTATATCGGGATCAGCGTGTGAGCAATGTTGAGGTTAGACGGAAGTTACTTGCTAGGCGAATCAGTTGGTGAGGTTGTGAACCTTCAGTGACTGAAGCGATTATAACATGTTTCGTTCATGCAGAGGCTCGATTAGCAATGCTAAGAGAAGTTGGATTAGGTTGGGAGAAGATTCAGGGTGGACAGATCATGAAATGACATCTGTCTATGAAGCTACTGAGTGTTGGTCTGAGCTACGTGAGGGGATGCAGATTAACCCGACTGGTGTCGTCGAGACGATAGGAATCAGCAGTTGGTGACCCTTGGAGAAATTGTTGAAGATGGGTGACGATGGTGCAGATACACTCACTTGTTGGAGTTTTTTTGCAGTTTAAACATTTTCACCAACCTACATTTTTAGAAGATTCTTTCTTCTTCACTTTGATATGAATCCATTCCTACCCATTTGTTCTTTGTGTGCTACTGTGAAGTATTGCAAGTTGAATTGATGCACTTCTTAACGGGGTTGTACATGGGTTAATCTCCTATCTCGGTTGGTCAGTGGCAATCTTTTTGTAAGCGACAGATGGGCATTGACAAATAGCGTTGTATTTAAAATTACAGTATTTCCTGGCTTTTTAAGGCGGTTGTACCCAAGTTATGAGTATCTTCATAATGCAGCATGTGAATCCTACACGGGTTTCAACTGTCTTTTATAACAGTTTTTGTAATATTCAGTTCCTCTTTGTTATGTTTATCTTATTTACCTTCATGGTTGGTTACCTTAGGACTGCTGGGTTTAGTAAATTGCTTCTTACTCGTAGACTGCTCATCAAACGTATTGGGAATTCTCAGCTAGGAGTTATTTTTAGTTAATTTGGTGTGCACGGAACGAAGTGGATAAATGAGGATGACGTCAAAACTATTTGAATAAGTTGCATCGGAAATTTTGAGGCAGATTAGAAATCTGATTCACATATTCAAGGGAGAAATATCTTGAAAAGCTTTGTCAGATAGTGCTCTTCTTGGTTATGATTACACCGTTTATCTTCTGTCATCATTCATGAGCTGTATGTGTCAATAAATTCAAGAATTCACGTATGTAGTACTACATGTTTTCACAGTATTTCTTAGTTATTATCACATTGTCTATTACACTGTAATTTTCCCAGGCATAGCAAAGATAATTTATCAATCTGGTGCTTGTTAATCCCACAAGTCCTCTTCCTCTCATGCATCTTTCTCTATTTGGTGATATTAATCTTCTTCAAATGGATGGCGTATACCGCAGAGACTGCTTCTTTGGCTCCAAGTCTTCTTATTGGTAGGTCTGTAGATTTTGTCGCTTTCTAAAATGTTACTTTTGCCATGTGATATACGGTATTGGATAAAATACCATATTCATGAACGGTCAAACACTTACTTTGTTTTCATAATTTTTGAAGTTTATTTACTAGTTACGCAAATATGTTCAGGTTTTTAAAAGCATACCAAATAAATCTATTTCTTTTGATCAATTTAATATCGAATTTTAAGTTCATTAGTATTTCATCGAGTGAATTTTCATTTGCATCGGTAGTTAAATTGAGGTCTGTTTCCTTGTATCGCGAAATCTGAAATTGCGTAAAAACATTAAACTGTTGTGGAAATCGTTGAACTGCCGTAAATGGTTCTTGAAACACTTAATCTAAGTCTCTCTCTGGATATTTGGCTCACTGTTTTGATCACGACAGCAAACTGAGGTTAGAATCGGAGAAATTATCATGAATCATTGAGTAGCTGGCATATTATAATCGAAATGCAATTCAACAAAATAGATTTCTGACCCTTCGCAACCTCATGGAAACCACAAAATCAAACGTGTACAAGCTATTACTTATTTAAAAAGTAACTTAAGTGAATCAAACTACAGTGTTCATTTGCACACAAAAACACAGACGGGATTTAATGTCGTCATCATTTGTTTATTGGTCACTGAATTCAAGGTTATGATGTGGATTTTCGACAAACATGTTTACGATATGAATGAGAAATCCAGTTGGTTTATGTGTACGTGTACTTGACTTATGGTCAAATTGAATGGTCTATTATTTTGGAAATGCTGTCCAAGTTGATTGGATACTTAGGCCCCTATTTCTGTCAAGTGTATTGATATTTGACACAATATGAACTGTTTAAGCTATACTTATTGTTGTTCTTTGTATTTAGAAAATTCGTTTTGAATAACTTTGGTGTTTTCAGCGTCATCGTTTTGACTGTGTAGAATGACAGGAACTGCGATTGCAGATTCTACTCGTAGATTTCGTAGTTCTACTGGATTACTTGAAGGTTATTCTGTGTAGCTTGTGTGCTCTTTAGCACAATTTTGGACTTCACAAGACATTTCTTCAGTGTAAACATCACCTAACCTCCCATAGACATGGTTCTATCTGAAGGTAAAAGATACTGTAGAATTTATCCAGGAAATCAAAGACCAAACGTTTATATAAAAAATCTCAATAATTCAAAACTGAACAATCTAGTTATCTTAATTACTCAGGAATGAAAACTGGATTTATCTGAGATACAGTATTATATCAACAAATAATAATTATTAAAATCAGAGACCTCAAATTTTAAGGTATTTAGGCTTTTTTTTACACCATCAAATGCACTGTCGAAATCGGACCGCGATTGCGAATAAAATGCAAACGAAAGTCGGGGGAAAACGGGGGATTAAGATAAAATAAGGTTGAGCGATATAACTAGTGTGAAGTAAGTTGGATGGAGTAAAATGTATTCAAGAGATAACATAAAACAGGAATATGCAAATCTTCACGGTCATTGGGCTAGTGTTTAGCACAACAAAATGTTTATATAATACTACTTATCATTAGTTATTAAAAAGCTTTCAAATACATACTCCCTGAGTCCCGATGTCATCGCGAAATCACCTCAACTTTCTTAAAGTTCTACCATTTTCACGTTCAAATGAAAGTTAAGTATCCAGACGGAGTAGCAGTGGACTCCAATTCGCACCTCTCCTTATCGTTGCGAATCTCTTTATGTTCTTTACTACTCAGAGATGTGCTTTAACAGCTTACCGAGTGTACTATATTTCACTTTTTCCGAACATTTTACTGAAGATGGGTAGCCTTCATCAATATCAAGAGTTCTGTTCATGAAAATCCACTCTCGTAGAGTGCTCAAGTGTTAGAGAATACCCGAGTGCTACGGTTATACGATTTTAAATTTTCTGGATCTAATTGCTCACACACAAAGCTTTTGTTTGTGCGAGTTTTTTTAGAATAGTCAGTCTTCTGATAATAGAATATTTATCAAGTGGTCTGATTATTGTTGTAGTTTTATTTTGTCATATTTGGCCTTTTTACCTGTTCTGCAGCCCAGTTTTTATTGACAAACTTTGAGGTTGTCTAACAGTATGTTTTGCTGTTTCCCATCAGGTTTAATCAACATGATTCGTTTCAGCTATCCTGAAGAAATTCCACCTTTGTACGCAGGACAGGTTAGTTGTCAAATCTTTAGATTTAACTTCATTATTTTATTCCTTGATACATTGATAGAGTTCTTATAATTAGATTTATTTGCGATTTTCATTGTACTAGAGTGTATGTATAATTGGTTGTTAGTCCATCTAACTTTTCATTTGAGCTGTTTGTGAAATAGCTGACTCTGATCTGATAATAATATACTTGAATTACGGTACCTACCGAATACGAAACCTATACTCAAACATCTCTACCGACTCTTGCTGAGTGCTCAGTAACGAATTTGTCTATCCATGTAACAGTTTGTTTACATTTATTTTATCGCGTTAATAAACAGTGACTTTAAGCTTCTAATTCTGTAAATTTAAGTACTTACCGTTCTCTTCCTTTTTATATTAACCACACTGTCATCACCCTCTTTTTTATGTAAGACATGGATGGTATCGGAAGAACCTGTCGTTTCAGATTACGTTGAAGAAATTTAATGGTTATTCATGTGGTAAATGGGTGTTTTTAAAGAAATAATTCTCCTTAAAAAAAGATTCTTTGCTTTATTTTGTTTTACCACTTAATTTCAGCAAGCTGTTCAAAGTCTGCTGATGATTATTGCGGTTATATGTGTTCCTTGGATGTTATTGGCAAAACCATTAATTTTGTATATGCGTCACCGTGCCATCATGAAGGTAACTGTGCTCATAATTTTGTTTATATATATATATATATATATATATATATATATATCTTCGGTATACATAGTTTACAGAAAAACTTGAGAAATAAATATATTTTCCTTTTATGATCACGGAGTAACTTCGCCAAAGAGTAAATGACTGAAAAGACAAAGAAAAACAGTTCACATAACCCTTTATAGTTCAAGTAATCCGCGTCAGCAGTGAAGCCTTCAATTTCGCCAATTGTACCTCCATCGACTACCTACAGACAGATAAAGAACAGAAAGCGAGAACTGTGATTTGCAGGCAATTTTCAAGTGTCTGGGCAGTTAGTGAACGTAGGTGTCGTTCATAGATGAAAAACAAAGAAATGCACAAGATAGCTGAAACTCGAAGGAACAAAAAATTAACTTTGTTAACGCAAATGTAAAAGAGATATAATAGTTCAGCATAAGATTTCCGCTTCCGACACTTGCTTGTTATTATGTGTATCTATCTTCAGATGTATCTACGACATCTATTACGGTTTATTTGTTTCAGTATCTACTTTGATTTTTACCGCTTTTATATTGTAAAGTAACATTTAATTTCATTATGTGAGCATAGAATAAACATTATGTGGAACCTGGTTCAAGTGTACGGGTGATCGTTGGTGGTGTTACGAATCCAAATATGGATGAGAATTTCGGTGGTGATAATGGGATTGTATACAGTGATATGTCCCCATTACATAGATCATCTGAAAACCAATCTAAGCTTTCATTAGTTAGTCAGAAAACAGATTCTCCAGGTAGTCATGATATTGATAAGGTGAGAATTCAAAGCTTTTGTCTTTATTATCGTTCGTGAAACCTATTTTTCACATTTTTTTTTGTTATTCATATACCAATTGATACCTGAACAATAAATACTCACTCTACAAAAATCATCTATGAAACATGCATGTTTTTGAGGCTCGTGGTCCTGTTAGCCATCCGGAGGTGTCAAGTAAATCTTCAGAAAAAATAGCTCTAGATGGAGATGTTAATGGTATAGGTTCTGTGGACATACCTATAGAGCCTGTAAGTATTGTTTGATCTGTTCTAACTGTGATGACCAGTGTTGTGTTCGTTTTGTTGTAACCCTTGACTGTGTCATCCTTTTCTCAATCGAATTCTCTTCAAACAGTAACTGTGTATCTGTAAGACGATCATATTATAAGTATGATTTGATTATGTTACTCATGTAATCACTGACAAACTGAATTCACATTTACTGTGTAGCGCAATTCACTTTGTATGATTGTGTTGGTATTTCATCAGTGTTGAATTTAATGGTAACGTATTCACTCAATGAAAACATCAAATACATCGATAACAATAAATTGGGAAAAAACTTTTAGATTGCATGTGTATCCATTAACTAACCTAACAAGTAATACCAATAATACTTCGTTTTTTCAATGTGTGAAATATACCCAGCAGAATATGAAAGAACAAGTATTTTAGCGAAGAGTCTCTTTTCGGCGATTTCATTTTTTAAAGCTATACAATCGCAAATTTATACATTTTTCTAGTGTAAGGATTTGATAGTTAAAAACAGTTTAACACTATCTGTGTTGCCATGCTTGACAAACCGTTTTTTCAACTACGAAATCCTTACACTAGAAAAATGTATAAATCTGCGATTGTACAGCTTTGAAAATGAAACCGCCAAAAAGAGACTTCGCTATAATACTTGCTCTTCTTTCATTTCATTTTTTTGTTGTCTAGCTGTTATACCCGTTGTCGTAAAGTATTGTTCGTCATCTGATTTAAGTATTCAACTTCTCCCGTTTTATTTGTCTTATGCTTCAGTTTGACTTCGGAGATATCATGGTTCATCAAAGCATTCACACGATCGAGTATTGCTTGGGCTGCATTTCTAACACTGCATCCTACCTTCGTTTGTGGGCTTTAAGCTTGGCACATGCACGTGAGTAATGCGTCTAATATTATTTGTCTTTTTTAGTAGTATGCATTTCAAAATAATAACTTTTTGTATCAAGTTAATTTTTACTTTGTGCAATAATTATTAATCAACAAGATGGGTTTGTTTATTGCATTTATGCCTGGCGTTCATATTCGGGACTTTTTGAGTGGTTTTTAATCCCTTCTTTTCTACCTAATCTTGATGTATTGAAGGTAAGTAACAGGATTAAAGGTATTTGAATTCTAATGTTTAAGTTGTATTACTGGTATAGGCTACAACCACCTAGTGATTCAATAAACATACTACGTCTAGAGCGTTTAGTGAATTGGGTGAAGAACTTGCCTCAGTTAAGTGAATCATTTATCTACCTTCATCAAATACCCCAGTTTTCCATGTGTGGAGCATTAAAGAGATTTATAAAGTTAAATTATGGACATATATTTCGATGTATCATTGAAAAAAAGAAATTGACGATCGTGAATTCACCATTAAGTGATTAAAGTCACACTAACAATTCGATGTGGTAGATGACGATCAGCACCTGCAGTATGGGCAGGAGTTATGACCAATGATGATGTGTCACTATTTGAGCTTTGATTTTCTCATTTTGATAGCATAAAAAGTTGTCGATTTCCTGTTTGTAGTTCTCAAAGTAATACATATAGGGTAAAGTAAGTACCTCGAAGTCTGATTCACTGATCATGTGAATAATACTTCTCCACCCACCTTAACAAAGTAACATCTATTCCTTTAGCTTATCAGATTTTCGTTCAGTTTTCCCTGTAATCAGGAAATGGCGCTCACTCCCTGAACCATGGGATCTACTTTTGATTATTGGTGGATGAACGCTAATAATTCTCACTAGCTGTCTTGATCTTTTGATGTGCTTTTCGTGGTTTACTGGTGATGGTTCACAAGCACCTAGCTTCGACCTTTAGCGTGATCTCCGGAGCAATAAGTCACTTCATATTATCTGAAGTAATACTCACGTAGACTTCCTATGATTTGCCTGTGCACTTCTGTCTTACTTTACTGGAAGTAAAACAAAAGTATGTCGTGCTACTTGCTCAATGTTTTTTTTGACATGTAAAAAATATCCTGATCTATAAAACAGCTCAACTTGGTTAAGTTACTAAAGCACTTTTTCCTATTTAACAGAGTTATCGGAGGTTCTGTGGAGTATGGTTATGAAGTTGGGTTTGAGTATGCCTGGTCTTTATGGTGGTGTTGTATTGGCATTCATTTTCGCTTTTTGGGCGGTGCTAACCGTAAGCATTCTTCTATGTATGGAGGGATTGTCTGCATTTCTGCATACGCTACGTCTCCACTGGTAAGTACGTTGTTTTATTTCATATCCTTTGCGTAGCACTTTCTTTAGTGAGACATCTAACTCAGGTTCTTCGTATAGCAGATATTATTAAGACGAACTTATTGTATACTTATTAAAAATTGCAATTTCAGTAGTGTTTTTAATGTATGAACGTGAATGTGTCAGTAGGTTAGGAAACAAAAAGTGTTATGCAACAATTACCAGTACTTTATCATGGTATGTTCAGAACCATCGTGCTTCACTGCAACTACTAATCCTGTTACCAGGAAGGACACCAAAACAACCGATGGTACCGATAGAATACACAAGGAGTGGGTATAACATACTAAATGAATTATTTTTTTTCTTACAGGGTGGAGTTCCAAAATAAATTCTACAGTGGCGATGGCTATCCTTTCGTTCCTTTTTCATTTGACCATTCCATAAGTTCGGGGGATAACTAGAATCGTAACATTACTATTGCTTTACTCTTTTCATGTGATTATTTGTAGCTCACTTTCCATGAATGTGATAACTCTTGAAGACCATGATAACTATTTATCTATGTTATCCGTATTGCTGTGATCGTGTCTCATAATAATTTGTCTACTAACGCCGTCAATGATTATTTACTTTTGAGCAAATTAAATTATTAAGGAAGACCTCATTTACTGATTTAATCTCTGTTATTTGTTGTCAAATGACTTTGTTCCCCCATTTCTGTTTGTCTTACTACTACTAAATACAGTCGGTCTACCGTACCATTTAACTATTTTGCAGACTTATCTCGGCCTACTGCTTTTACCGTTGTATGGTTCTGGCTCAAGCGTTTCGTCTTGTAACAGTGGGTCCCAGGTTCAAGCCTCGCTCTACCTACTTCGACCTGCAGAACTAGATAAAGTCCTCAAGGTGTTTGGCTCACAGCCAAGTACATAAGCACTTGTATCGCGCTGAGCTGCTTCCGTTTACGGCTGTAGGAACATTTTTCCATGTCTGTAGAAAATAAGTTTTTGTGCAAATATCGTAACTATTCAAATACATAGTTTAGTGGTAATCTGTCATATATCGTAAGGATATGCTACTGTTAAAACGTGGGATTCGAGTTCCTGGTGAAATTTATGGTATTTTGGACAGAAATTTAAGTAGCAAGTTGGAGTACTTTTATCCCGAAAGCAAAGTTAGTTCCTTTTTTTGTCCACCTATGCTATACTTGATACTCACCTCTATGACTCGTGACGGTGTGAATTCCTGTTTATAGGTGTTCATCCAAACTCTCACCGGAGACGTTTCTGTTCTCAAGTTTTACTTCTCATATAATTTCACTAGTCAGTTGCATCTTCGGTTATTTAATGGCCAGAAATGCTTGTCCTGCAATGAAATGGATTGTATGTGGATTTTATAGTGACTCGTCAACTTCGCCTGGTTCACTAGTTACTAGACGGTCCTAAGCCCAGATAAAAGCGGTAGGTTGGCCATGGCGCTAGCAACCCTGCCCCCGTAAGGCCAGTGCAGTTGCCGAAGAAAATTCAAAGCACAAAGAAACTATAAAAAGTAAAAACAAATGTATTCCCCTCTGGAATTGGGGAGACGAGGTGACGCCGGTTGCTGAAAGTCTTCGGGTAGCCGCCCGGCCGATTTGTTTTCGCTTCTCTCGATGAAAGCGAAAGTGAGATTGGGGACATGGAGTATACCGTACCATGTATGAACCTAGCAAGGCTGCCCAGATTGCAAAAGAGATGAGAGGGCATAGCATGGAAGTGCTTGGAATCTGCGAAAGCAGATGGAATGAAAGTGGACTCTCCAAAATTAACTGGAGAGTCAATAATTTACTCCGATATTGTCACTCAGACGACAACCACGAGTACACTGAGTTCTCGAGGGGTTATCATGACGTCCCCAACAGCATCGAAGGCCCTCATGCAGTGGGAACCAATCTCCTCCTGCAGGATCAGGTTCATGACAGCAAGGTTCAGCTCAAAAGGAAGGAAGGTCACAACCATACAATGCTACACTACGCACCTACAAATAATGTAGAGCAAGAGAAGAAGGACGAATTATACAGACAACTACAATCACTACTGGACAAGATTCCAGTTGTCAACATCAAAATTCTAATGGGTGGGGTGACATGAATGCCAAACTGGGAGCAGACAACACAGGAAGAGAACTTATCACCGGTCGAGAAGCGCTCGGTGAAATGAATGAGAATGGAGAACTGTTTGGGGATTTCTGCGCATTCAACGATTTGGTGATTGAAGGTAGTGTGTACAAACGCAAGGATATTCACAAAGCGACATGGATTTCACCAGAGGAAGACACTAAAACTCAGATCGACTTCATCTCAATGTGAAGAAAGTGGAGACGCAGCCTACTGGACACAATATGAAGAAGAGGAGTAAATGTAGGTTCACACCACTCCCTACTTATTTCAAGGAACCTTCCAAATCAAGTTGAAAGCCTTCAGATAAGTTGGTGATAGACCGCAGTTCGAGTACAACACTCGGAAACTGAAGGACGAAACTATAAAGGACATCTTCACGTCAGCCATCAGAACAAAATGGGCGACACTAAGCAACATCCCTGAAGAATCGGGCTTGGAACAACACTGGAACTCTTTGAAAGAGATGTGGAAAGAAACCTGCATAACCGTATTAGGAAGGAAGAAAAAAACAGGATATAGGGTGGATCTCGACGGACACACTGAAGCTGACGGAGCAGAGAGATGGTGAAGTAGGAGATGAACCAATGAAGTGCAGTGCAGGGACGAACAACGAAAAGAGGAACTGAGTACAACCTATAAAACACTACACTGGACAAAGAAGTGCCAAGTGATTCATAATGGTACGCTCAGTGATGCTTTTGCAGTGAAGTGAAGACAGGAGTAAAACAAGGCTGTCTACTGTTACCGGTGATCTTCTTGATTGTGGTGGACTGGATTATGCAGCAAACAGTGAGGGGTGAGATGAGGGGGATACGCTGGCTGGACCGGGGAAAAGAACCTAGAAGATTTGGATTTCGCCGATGACTTTTGTCTAATGTCGCACACACTCGGAGATCTGCAAGCGAAAACCAACAAGTTGACAGAAGAGGCAGTGAAGACGGGACTTCAAGTGAACATAGAGAAGACAGAGGTGATGATGATACCCGACCAACAACAACAAAAACTTCCAATCACCATGATCAGGAGAAACCTAAAGGGAGTAGCCTCTTTCACCTATCTGGGCAGCATCGTTTCAACTACAGGTGGCACAGACGAGGACATCAAAGCCAGGATCAGAAAGACAGGCCTTCATTAACCTGGAATCACTGTGTAGATCTACTGCACTCCACTCAGCATAAAGCGTGAACAAGATCCAAATTTCCAACATTTATATCAGTCAAGTCAGTGCTTCTATATGGTTCAGGGACTTGGCGCGTTATGAAAAGCATTTCCAACAAACTACAGGCATACCTCATCAAAAACTGCCGCCTACGCTCGTTACTGAAGCTCAGATGACCAGGAAGAATAAGCAACAAGGAACTATGGCAACGAACCAACCAAGAACCTATCGCTCAACAAATATGCAGAAGGAAGTGGAGATGGATTGGGCATACGCTGAGAAGACCGTTCGGGGACATCACGCGCCAGGCACTCGAGTGGAACCGAGATGGGAAGCGGCGAGTTGGGCGTCCAAGGTGGAGGTGACATGGAGGAGATGGTGTGAGGAATAAATGAGAGCTTCTGGGCAGTCGTGGAGCCAGGTTTAAGAGACTGCATAGAACAGAGTGGAATGGAGACGTGCTACTGAAGCCCTATGTTCCACTAGAGGTCCAAAGGACAAATAATAGGAAAACTAATGGCTTGTCACATTGAAACTGACCATCTTCTCTCTCCTCTAATTCGAACGCAGACTAAATGATATATAATTGGAGAAGGGAGATAAGGTGGTTAGTTTTTATGTGATGAGGCTTTTCAGAAATATACTACCTGATTAGGCCCTTGACACAGTCGCTAATGAACTGATGACTTAAGATGAACTGAGTAGCAGGACTAGTTTCTATTGGAGAAGTCATCTAAGGGATTAAATTGTTTAACTCCTACAGTTCTAAAATTTCAAGACAAAATATGTAAAGAAACGGAAGGAGTAGCAATGAGATCTCCAATATCCCTGATCGTATGATAACAAACACAATGGAAGATATTCCAGCCCGGCCCGAAGGTTTGGTAGCGATCTGTATATGACTCATTTACTGTGTTGAGATCGGAACACGTTCAAAGTTTCTTAGCACACATATGCTCGATTATGGATGCAATCCAACTCGCCTACGAATTGGAAAATGAAGAAGAATAGCCTGTTGGGTTGCAAAATCAAGAGGAGAGGAGGTCGAAGGTTAGATACCAATGTTTATAGGAAACCAACGCATTCTAATAGCTACATAGATTTAACATTATCTCACCCTATATTTGTCAAGGTAGGCTTGATAAAATGTTTAAGTAACGGCGCTTGGAATTTGACTATTTGGTAAGAAAACCTAAATAAGGGAATGAAAGATACCTCTTAAAACCTCTCCTCGGATTTGTAAAAAAGTTTATTAGGACCTAAAACAAGGAGTGATAATGTTACTAGGGATTACAACATGCATAAGTGGGAGTTCAAGTCCTCTCTAGCTTTGTCATGTAGAGTAGAATTGCCCAAAATTTTACGTAGAATTCCTAACAATGCTGCTATTAAGGTATCATTTAAACTCACAAACTCGGTTAGAGGGTTTGTAAGCTGAGAGAGCCAATTAAGAAAAATAACCCGATCTATTGAATACTATGTAGTGATTGTTAGGCCAATTGCACTGGTCGAAATAGCCCATCTGGGTCAGTCAAAATAGCAGAATGCAAAACTTAACAAAGTACACTGTGGTAGATTCAGTTAAGATGAGGAGTTTAGAAAACTGCTCGCCTATTGCTCTGCATTCACTGGGCCATAGTCACACTATAGGGTGGGATGGGGTGACAATTATAAATTCGAGTTTACCTAGGTAGAGGGAGGGAGAGATTGACCACAGGAGCTTCGTTCTTTGAACCAACTCCAAATACATGTGACACGAACGTTTCGTCACACACTGGAGACATCTAGAAAGTTTTTACTACCCTTGAGATAAAAGAATGAAGAACCGTCGGACTATATGAAGGAAAATTGTATGTTAACTTTGATATGAATATGAGCAACATATTCTGCTCGAGATGCTATCCAGTAAGTTACACTGTGCTATGTCAAATGAACAATCTAATATGGAACCGAAGTGATAGGTTCCAAAACTGCGTAGAAACCAGATATAAAAGTTAGGGTATGAAAGAAGGCGAGTTGCTTATTAAAGGTTCTAAGTGGTTAAATGTGTAACATGTAATCAGTTTTGAAATACGTTGGATAGATTTCCCAAGCATTGGTAGATAGCCTAGTTATGACTGCACTGGTAACTTTTATTTTTCACGAGTAGCTACTAGGTCATCCTCTGCGTATCCTTACTCTTCGTTCAAATGCATCATGTTTCGGTCAGATTGGTACACTGGGAGTGTCGTACTAATATCCCTCAACTAATAGCAGCTTGTAACCTGATCAAATGACCGAATTCCATGCTAAGCATTTCCACACCGAATGGCAGCGTTGTGGCGCTATTGTGTTCTTGGTCTCGTATTCGTGGGAATATAACAAGTTGGAATAATTAGTCATTGGCCTCTGCATCCGTCAAGTTAGCATCAGGACAGTTCCTGAAATATGATCTCTGTGAAGTTCATCGCG